TCAATTCAAAAGTAAATTTATAAATATATAACTTATAAATTCAAGTTAAGTCAATAATTTAAATGATTTAAGTCAATAAATAATTAATTTTTCTAATATATGAATTATAAAGTAGTGTTCATTTGAACTACGACCTAGGATTTTATTATTATCTTAATTTTACATAATTTTAAGGTTTAGGGTCTCACCGCCATCTTATAAAATTTTCCTTAAGTTTGAGTGGTACTTTTTTTTATCATACAACAAATCTGAAACATTCCTTCACTTCAACAAACCAACTTGAATTCTACTAATAATATCCCCATCTATTTCACCATTACTCTAAATATTAAACCCAAGATATTTAAAACGAGTACACTTATTAATGACTTGATATCTCAAAGTCACAAACCCCCCACTATATCTATTACTACTAAAATTATACTCTATATATTTGATTTTAGATCTACTCAAATAAAAAAAATTTAGACTTTAAAGTTGACTTCCATAGTTTGAGTTTACCTTCAACCCCCTCTATAGCCTTATTAACTAGAAAAATATCATCAGCAAAAAGCATACACTAGGATACATCCTCATGAAAATATAAATAACAAGAACATAAACTTTAATAAATAACACATATTTTCATATGAGTGATAGAAAGGTACAAAATATGTGATATATATAAAGCTATAACACAATGCACAAGATAGCTAGTGCATTCAGCACCACCCTAAAACATCACAATAAGCTTACTAACGACATAAGTTGATTGCCCCCATAAGCACTATGTTTATAGTCTTAAGACAGGCTATACTAATGATTTTATTTCAGGATGAACCAATTTAGTTATATTTCACAATCGATCAATGTTTGCACCTAAATAAGGTTTCAATATGTGGTCATTTACTTTGAAAACATGTATGCTGTTCTTATCCTGAATTTTTACAGTTCCATATGAAAATATTCTTATAACAATGAAAGGTCCAGATCATCTAGATTTTAATTTTTTTGTGAAAGGTGGTTAAGTCTAGAATTAAAAAGTAAAACATCTTATTCAGAAGTGAATTATTTTTTAAGAAGTTTACTATCATGCTATTTTTTTTAACTTTTTTCTTATAAATACTTGCATTTTCATAAACTTTATTTTCAATTTCTTTCAATTCACTCAATTATATCAATATCTTTTTTTAATACCTTCAAACTAAAATTTAATTCTTTAATTTCCAAGAATATTTTGTGCTTAAGTTTCACAGGAAGGTGACAAGCTTTTTTAAAATTTAATTTATAAGGAGGCATACCAATAAAAGTCTTAAAAATAGTTCTATAGGGCAATAATGCATCATCTAATTTAATCGCAAAATCTTTCCAATCAGAACTGATCATTTTTTCAAGATTTGTTTAATCTTTCTATTGCTAATTTTAGCCTGACCATTAATTTGACGATGAAAAGCATTAGCTATCCTATGATAAATCCTATATTTCCTTAACATTATTTCTATTCTTTTATTATAGAAATGACTTTCTCCATCAGTGATTAAAACTCTTAGCATTTCAAACCTAGAAAAAAATATTTTTCTTTAAAGAATTGATCATAATTTAAGCATCAATTTTAGAGGTTTCCACACCTTTAATCAATTTTGAAATATAATCTACAATATTAAGAATATATTGATTTCTATGGGATGACACAAAATGTCCCATAAAATCCAATCCCTAAATATTAAATATTTTTATTTTCAAAATATAGTTCAAATGTATTATATTTCTTTTTGAAATATTTCTTACTCTTTGACATTGATCACATTTCTTAATGTATTTATTTACTTACTTGAATAGAGTAGGCAAAAAAAAAAAAAATCTAAATTGAATTCTAAAATCCCAGAAGTGCCCCCCATAATGAGAATCATGATACTCCTTATAAAGATGCTAAACTTGGATTTTTCTGTTACAATAATTTGAGAGAAACTTTTTATAAAAAGGGTACTAAAAATTAAATTGTAAACTAATCTAAGTTTAGCATCTTTCTTTGTCATAAGATATTTGATAACATAATGATTAGTAAAAATAACTACTTTAGTGCCAATTAAGTATGATCTAAATTTATTAAAAGCAAATGCAATATCTAGTAATTCTTTTTCAGTAGTTGTATAATTATATTGTGCATAATTTAATATTTTACTAGTATAAAAAATGACATGAAATTTCTTATATCTCTTTTATCCACGAATGACACCCACAATAATGTCGTCGACATCACACATCGCTATAAAAGGTAACCACCAATCATGAGCAGTAATAGCTGGGGCAATAGTCAATTGTTATTTTAAAGTATTAAAGGCTTCATGACATATAAACTTAAATACAAAAGGAACATCCTTCTCCATTAAATAATTTGATGGCTTAGAAATTTTAGAGAAGTCCTTAATAAATCTCTTATAAAATCCATAATGTCCTAAGAAAATCCTAATACTTTTAATAGAATTGGGAGGATGTAATTGTTCTATCACCCAAATTTTCACAATGTTTACCTCCTATCCTTCCTTAGAAATATTATGCCCTAAAGAAATGAATTCATTTACCGTGAATTGACACTTCTTCCAATTTAATACTAAATTTATTTCTACACATCTTTTTAAAATAGAGGTTAAATTCTTAAGACAAGAATCAAATATACTGTCAATTACAAAGAAGTCATTTATGAAAACTTTAATACCCTACTCAATTAAGTTTGAAAAGATTGACATCACACATTTTTAAAAAGTAGGAGCATTATAGTGTCCAGAAGGCATTCTTCTAAAAGTAAAAGCTTCATAATGTCTAGTGAAGGTAGTCTTATCCTGATCCTCAAGTACAATAGAAATTTGATGATATCCAGAATATCCATCTCAAAAAAAAAAGAATGTCCTATCAATCTATCTAACACCTAATCAAGAAAAGATAAAGAAAAATGATCTTTTATAGTGGATTTATTTAATTTTCTATAATCTATACAATTCCTCTAACCTGTAATCGTTCATGTGGGTATAAGTTCATTATGTTCATTTGTTATAACAATCAATCCTCCTTTTTTAGGAACACGATGAATTGGGCTTACCTAAGAACTATCAGAAATATGATAAATAATCCCAACATTTAGCCATTTTGTAATCTCTTTCTCAACATCTTTCATGGGAGGGTTAAGTTTTCTTTGAGGGTTAGCTTTTGGTATTGAATTGGCTTCCATCAAAATTCTATATATGCAAATTGAGGGACTAATCCCCTTAATGTTAGCAACTGTTCACCCGAAATCTCTTCTAAATTTACTTAAAACTCTAATCAATTCACTTTCTTGATGTTGTTCTAAATTTGTAGAAATGATAACAAGAAGAATATTATTATTACCCAAAAAGGCATACTCGAGATGACAAGGTAAAGCCTTAAGTTTTAATTTAGGGGCCTCAACAATGGGTGGTATTAAATTATTTTTTAAATAAGAAGTCTTTAACAATTCAAAATTTTTATTGATCAAACTTTCATTCCCTTCATTTTTTATAACAGATTTTCCTAACATCTCTTTGTTCTTTTCATTTTCTTCTTCTTCCAAAAGTTCTCTTTCCAATAATTCTTCTTTTAGACTCTCTACTATGATATTTTTCAAATCCACCCCAAAGAAATCTTTATTCTTCTATTGAGAGAATTTTATAGATTTAAGCACATCAATTGTAACCTCCTGATCTTGAACCCTCATAATCAATTCACTCTTTTTCACATCTATCATGGCTTTTCCAATAGCTAAGAAATGTCTTCCTAAAATGAGAGGTATTTTTTATCTTCCTCTATATCTTAAATAATAAAATCAACAGGGAAAATGAATTTATCAACTTTGATCAAGATATCTTCTACTACCTCTCTTAAATAAATGAATGATCAATCACCCAACTGAAGAGTAAGAGAAGTTGGTTGAACCTCTCATATATCTAATCTTTAAAAATGTAAAGTTGCATGAGGTTGATACTAGAACCTAAATCACATAAAGATCTCTCATAGAATTTAACACCAATAGTTAAAGGAATGGTAAATCTTTCATGATCTTTAAGTTTTTCAGGAAGTTTCTTTTGAATTACATCACTACTCTTTTTAGTTAATGCTATAATTTCAAATTCTCCATGCCTCCTTTTTATTCAAAATATCCTTCATAAATTTTTCATAAATGGGCATTTTTTCTAAATGTTTAGAGAAGGGTATATTAATGGTTAATTATTTAAAAACTTCTAAGAACTTTGAGAATTGTTTATCAAGATTTTATTTGATTAACCACTGAGGAAAAAGTAGTGGTGATATCCCTACAACCCTTCTAATTGAATTTTCAACTTCTTTTATAGAGTCAGCTTATTTAATTAAAGATTTATTTTATACTTGTTGATCTTCACCATCATTCTTCTAAAGTAAATCTTTATCTTTGTATGGGTCTTCCAAATATTTCCAACTTATGAGTTAGATATTATGATATTATTCTTCTAATTTTTGATAATTAATCAACCTAGCAAGATGCCTTATTTGATCTTCAATTTTTTAAAGAGCATTTTATTGATTATGCAATTTGATTCCTACTTGCATAATAATAGTTTCCAAGGATACCTTCCCATTCCTGTTATAATGGAGTTGTTCAGAATCTAAGTGATAATGATTTAGTGCTACATGATGTGATGTTGTGGTGCTTGAATTTCTAGGATATATATTGATATTATTATCCTCAGTTATCCTGATTTTAACTTTCAAGTTATCTAATTTTTTAAAAATTGATGCAACTTGTGCAGTTAAAAATTGACAAAGCATCAAATTCATATACTCTTGCTATTCTCTTAAGATTTATCCTATCAGTAGACCACTGTAAATTATTAGTAGCAATTTTCTTTATTAATTCATATGCTTTCTCAAACGAATTAGGCATTAATGATCCTCCACCTGCAGCATCTATTATTGCCCTAAGGGATCCTACTAATATATTATTAAATAGTTAAATAACTGACCAATTAAGTAAAGCATGATGAGGGCATTTCCTAAGCATTTCTTTAAATCTCTCTTGACTCACATAAATTGATTCTTCTTCAAACTGAGTAAAAGAAGTGATATTATTTTTAAGTTTAGCAATCTTCACAGGTGAGAAATACTTAGCAAGAAACTTATGAGCTAACTTATTCCAAGTGATTATAAAGCATAAGGGTAAAGAATTCAATCACTATTATACTTAAATGTTACATAAATTTCTAAAAAACCAGCTAAGTATAGATTAAAATATTCAGTAGAAGTTCTCCAATACTGGAAAATTTGAACCATTTAAATTATAACAAGTTATAATTCAAAATTATTAGCATGGATTATATGTCTATTAATACTCCAATGAACTCTGTTTATTAAAGGGTTAGTATAACCCCTAAGAGGTCTAGATTGATTTTGATCTAATATAGATTTAGCTATCTTCACTAACTTTTTAGTTTTTTTAAATTTTTGAAAGGGTGTTTGACCTAGATTTTTGTTCGAGTTCCCTCAAAATCGATTCCCGTCAAGTCCAATTCGAGCTCAAATTAGCTCGTATTGAGTCAAATTAGACTTGACCGTGTTTGATTAAGCCCGATTAGTCCACCTTAGCCGTGTCAAGTTTGTTATGATTCGAATCATCATTTTATTTAAATTTAATTGGATTAATTTGAGCCATTCTTTCCCTTTGAATAGGAACTTCCAAGTCTCCCTTTGTGTTCCAATCCTCCTTTTCGGGAAGAATAATATTGAAACCTTAATCGAGAGTTTTCTTAAGCCTCAGGCTTGAGATGTAATTAATCACGGGGGCTTGCGCTCATGGAAAATGGAACTCCACCATCAAATAAACTCCACTCGAGCTGATGTACCGGGTGTGAAAAATCTGTTATTTTGATTAGGTCGTATATATTACTACCCATCGAGATGCGTTGGTGAGAGCCGCTATCCTCAATGGTTAGTTATATTTACGATCAAATTTGCCCTCCCATTGGCCCGTTTAATAAGAGCGTGGAGGCTTGCAATCGTTTCTATCCCCCATGGTGATGCAATCATATACCCTCTGCACTTTGCTACCATAGTGGTGTCCTTTCGGAGGTCCACAGGTTTTTGGCGACCACGATGGGACAAAAGGAAAAAAGAAATCCAATATTCGCATGACCAAATTGAAATGACTAACAAGGATGACTCTATACTCACTTGACTGAATTAGAATAGCAAGAAAATGAGCCAAGGAAACTTAACAACCTAACTGAAAATATGGCATAAAGGAAGGGAAAGAAAGACTCAACAACCACTCAAGAAGTCGACAACCACCAAGCGCACAAGCCCACAGTGATGTGAAGAGGAAAGGAACACTCAACCGTGAGTTTGACAGTGAAGTGAAGAGGAAAGAAAGCACCCCCGCTAGGCCATAGGCCACGAAATAACGAGGTCCCTATCCAGCCATAGGTATTTCGTTAGGATAAAGCGAAAAGAAAAAAATCACTAGACCATATGTTTGTCGATGAAAAGGAAAGGACGCACCCTCACCCGGCCTTAGACCACAAAACAATGAGGTCCCTGCCCGATCATAGGTCTGTCGGTAGGATAAAGTGGAAATAAATAGTCATATGACCATAGGTCTATCAGTGAAAAGGAAAGGAAGCATCCTTACCTCGCCACAGGCCACGAAACAGCGAGGTCCCTACCCGACCATAGGTTTGTCGGTAGGATAAAGCGAAAACTCAACGATCACCCAAGCATCAATCTGTCGGTGAAGTGAAGAGAAAAGAGAGCACCCTTGCCGCCTCTCATGACATAAAATAGAAAACTTTCCCCATTTTGCACTCACGCTCTCATAATCACACACAGGAATTCAAAGGGAAAAAGTAACATAAGAGGAAGTGATTCAACACATGCCTCTGATGTCAAAATCGCACATGCACCGTAATTTATATATACATATGTACACTTCACCACATCTTCATTCCCCATGTTTTCTTTTTCTTGTTAGTTGGTTGTTGAGTTTTTACTTTATCCTACCGATATACCTATGGCCAGGTAGGAACCTTGCTATTTCGGGGCCTATGACTGAGCGAGGGTCCTCTCTTTCCTCTTCACTTCATCGACAGATCTATGGTCGGGTGATTGTTGAGTTTCCGCTTTATCCTACCGACAAACCTATGGCCGAGTAGGGACTTCACTGTTTCAGAGCAGCGTCAAACAATAAAAGTTTCTTTCTTTGTCTAAAAGTATACAACCATGAATATACAATCAACAAGTAAAATAAAAGATACAAGTAGGTCTAACTATGTAATTAATTTAACATTATTATTAAAATTTGTAAAAAGAAGAATACTTTCTCGATAACTACGCCAAAAACTTGATGGGGACTATGAAGTGAACTTTTGAATTGTATAAAGATCTAGAGCTCCATCACCCTTAAATAATGCTTAAATTTTTTTGATATAAATAATAATAAATCTCACTTAATATACACAAGTATATATGCTGAATCAAGTAATTAAATAATAGAGTAGAGTGTCGAATCCACCAGAAAATATATTTTACTTGCAACAAACTATTACTATTTACTCTAAATATAATAATTATCCTACTAAAATAAAAATAATATTTTTGGAGATTCTATCTTTGAATAAAAGAACAAAATATTTGATACAACATTTAATAAAAGTGTTTTCAATTGATGAGCATAAATTGTATATCTTTCCTAATAAAACTTTTCAAGATAATGTGATTTAGAACATATATATCCATAGATCTCTGCCAAGCTTATAAGGGTGAAAATGATGTCTACTGGCCTCCTACAATTATATTATCTCCTCAAAAACCTAGAATATTTTATATCCTATATTTAGGCATGCAAACATCCTATCTCAATATTCCTAGTTGTTCTTGTATTCATCCATTATGGCTATATATCACACTATATTTTAACTACACATATGACCATTATTTGTATTAAATAAAGAATGAGATAATATTAAAAACATTTTTAATAGTTATAAAACAAGTATCTTCATTAATACTTTTTCATGCACTTCATATCATTAATTCAAAAAAAAAAGAGAATTAGCTAGACATAGAATAAATAACTAACAAACTCATTTTCACTATAGTCATGTTATAATGAAAAATATAAGAGAGTGTTATCACCCAAAAGGATCAAAGTAGTATCTTCTATACTTTTTTTCACCCTTTAACTAAGCTTAGTCTCATTTAGATTTTATTCTAAGAGGGAACTAGAGAAATACTCTAAAAAGTACTAAATTTATACAAGTAATTGAATTTCCTTATAAACATAACATCACAACTATTTATTAAAAAAAACATTAATAGGAAACTGGCACTGCGACACTTGAATAATGGCACTACAACGCCCTTGAAGTGAACTAGTGCCTTTGCTGATGTGGATCAATTATTTAGTAAATAGTCATGCCTCTTCATTGATAGAACATATCCCTTAAAAACAACTGCATCACGGCGGCTCTACGGACATTTGAGCGTTGCGGTGCCCGAGTGCAAAATGGCATCGAGGCGTGAGAAATTGTGGCGCCATGGAAATTAAAAGCATAGTGTCTGACATTACCAAGTTAAATTTTGAATCGCAGCGCTGGCAATGCTATGGTGTTATTTGTGTTGCCACAGTAGTGGTTACAAATAGAGAACTCGCTGCCACCATATCAAAAATTGAGCGCCTCAGTGATATTAAAGTAAGCGTTGTGGTGTTATTTCATCGGACGTCGTTACACTATTGAATATTTATAATTTTTTTGCCATTCTTTAGTTTTCCTACAAAAAAATAACTAAAACAAGTTTTCACTGAAAATAAAAATATAAAATAATATGTATTTTACACCTATCATGAATTAGAATATAAGTACTCTTTGTCTTTGTCGAGTTTATTGGTGTATTAGCTATGATTCCTCTTTACTAAAGTTCTGTTATCTCCTTAATATTTCATAATCCTAACCACTATATTCTATGTTATGACAATATTACATTTAAAAACCCCTAATTATTCTTCTACTCCTACGTCGAGGCTCTAGATCACATTAGGTTTTAAGTTTATATTAGGCCTAAACATAAACTAAATGAAGGTTTAAAAGCTTCATGAATACTTCAAAGATTCAACCTACTCTATTCAATACATAGCTTCTAAATAGTCATAGATTCAGAATAAAAGTTTAGCCACACATAGAGATGATTTTAAACAACACAAATATTTTATTTCACTTAAGAAAATAACAAGTTGTAAACTATAAAATAAAATATAAATAATAAAAGGAAGGTTAGAAATGACCCCGATCCAAGGTATAAACTCCTTTGCACCTCTCCACTTTGATGTACACTAATATAACATACCAAATAAGTATACAAGAGCCACTCTCTCCCTTAGAAACAAACCCTTACACTATATCACACACACACAACTCCACAATGTGCACACCTCTTTACATGAACACTAAGGTTACCATTTGTGCTTTTATAAAATAGCCAAACTAGCTAGTGTCGTGACACTAGCTTGGTGGCACTGTAGGGTTGTTGGACTGGCACGTCGGTTCACCATTTATTGCATTAGTTCATTGTTTCAACAATCTCCTACCATATAGCTGGGCGATTTGGCACTGCGACACTTCTTGGATAGCGCTAGCTTTAGCACTGTGGCATTAGATTAAGTTATGGTGTTGAGTCTGTGAGCTATGGCGTTGGTTAAATTTTTATGATTTTTCACCTATTTCCTACAAAAATTGTAAGAGTTAAAAGCACAAATATCATAATAGGTAATTTGGACTTAACGATTATTCTCTTATCAATGCACAAACACATGCAAGAGGACATGAATGTTGAAATTTAGTGAGTTATCTTTCTCAGACCGGATCTAAACATGTGAAATTAGTTACCATTTCAATAGTTATTTCATTTATAGTCTCATGGTTTTAAATCTGTAAAAGCAACAAGAAATCATCTATTGTTAGATTGTAACCTTAGATATTTATCCCAGGGAAACAATCAAACTAGTACTTAATGCAAGGAATTCTATATTTAAAAAGTAGCTTAGCCCTTGGATGAAATTGTCTAATAACAAGTGAATCAAATAAACTTTTG